CTGCTTCCCTCCCCCTTCTCCCCGCCCACGGCTTGGGCTCCTCCCTCCCACCAGTCGCGTCCGTCCCTTTCGGCCCCCCGCGGAAGCTCGGCGCCAAACTCAAAGCGCAAGATGGCGGCGGAGTGCCTGTTCAGTCGGTTGGTGCCGGTGCAGATGAAGTGCCAGGGCTGCGAAGAGAGGTGAGAGAGGCTGGCGCAGCTTGCCTGAGGTGACATTCAGGGTTAGGAGCAATACTTTGCAACCCAGGCACTGCTTTTTTTTTTTAGGTGTGTGTGTGGGGGGTCTGCCCCGCCACTTCCAGTGCAAGCCGCATTGGTTGCAGGGTGTCGGGCCAGAACCAGGCAGTTTAGCTGTTTTTCTCAAGGGGATAGAGAAAGCTGAGCCTTTAGGCGGAGGGTGGCTGTCTCCCTCCCTCTTACTGTAGTTTTTCTACAGGAAATTTTAAAACAAAACCGAGAGGAAGGCCAGAAAGCGGCATCGTTCTGGAATACAGCAAATGTGCGCCTTCGTTGTCCGGTCCTCAGCTTTGTGGTGCCTTAAAAACTTAACGGACCTGTTACTGTATTGTATAAACGTCCGTGGGCTACCGTTCACCGGCTTTGTCAATAAAATTGCCAGGTTTTTCAAATGGTGTAAGACGTGCTTTTGTTGTAACAGACGAACGGGGTTTCTATTCCATAACTCCTGGATGTACTATGTTCAGTTGATAGTGAGGAGGGATAGGTTTCGGTTGCTAATTTTAATCCTTTTCTATCGCTTGCCTGTAACAGCTGTATGTATTTACTAGTCTTTAGCATATACAGTATTAGCTATGACACCTTTCTCTCAGAGATCCTGTGCCTTGAGTAGTTAGTTATACTATGGGCAAAATTTCAGTTGACACTTTCGGAACACAGTAGCCGATCAGGTTTTCCAAATTTCTGACAGTTCTTCAAGCTCTAAAGCCCCAGAGAGTACTGTCAGAAAAGATGTGGCAAACTTTAAAAATCATTTTTAACCTTACAGGGTGTGGATCCCATACCAGACTTTAATTGTCACTTTGTTCAGCTGGGTGTTTAAATACTGGCAACTGAACATTTTAATGCCTTTTGGTTAACATTTTAATGCTTTTTTTACTAACAGCTGTTGCAAATAGATCAGAAATTTCCCTAATTAAGAGATGTAGTGGTTTGCATATGAACTGTGCTCAGGTTAGTCACCCATACAGCACTACTAACAATGTTCCCCTGTCCCCACTTGTACTGTACAGTTAAGAATGCAAGTTATTTCTTCTCATTCCTTCAGCACCGGAACATGGATCAAGTTGGGTTCCAAATGGTGTGGATCTCTGTGTGTAGAGGTTTCCCCCTTTAGATAGCTATGCAATGTATAGATGCCAGAAACCTTCGAATTATGTAATGTGTGATGGCAGATTGTTTGGCTTTATGTCTCTTTTTGTATATGGACCTCTTTTGTGTGGATAATATGTGAAGGGTCCTTTTCTTGTAAGTCAAATGGTCAGTCTGCTCAGTTGTAATGAACTAGTCAATGGCAGTACCTTTCCTTTATAAGGTAAAAGAGTGTGAACTTGTGTATATAGGGTTACTTTGGTGTAACAATTTTTCTTACATATGCCACAAAACCCCTTTGATATTTTTATACAGTAGTGTGGGAAATACAAACACATGAAAATGTTAGAAATTGAATTTGTATATTCTAACATCTTTGTGTTATGTTTATGCCCATCCATGTATATTTTAACATTCAGTATTTCAAAACTTGTAAGTTAATGGTGGGAGATGCTTCTGGGGAATTATTTAATGTACAGAAATAGCTGGACACAGTATCCTGTTATGTCTCGCAATGCTAATATAAAAAAAGTTTGTTCATTCTAATAATATGAAGTCAATTTCTGTTTCAGATTTCACAGTGCAGTCTTACATATATTTATCAACAGTAACTTTTACTGAATTCAGTAGGAGTTATTCCTATGTAAGTTTAGCTGAGAGCAAATATGATGGACATCAGCTGAACCTACATCTGAGTAAACATGTGTTATATGCTGGCTGTCATTACTGTATTGTTAGGTTGATGAGAGGTTTCCATGTTATCTGCTGTAACAGTTTTAGAAAGCCAAGTTAAATCTGTTCTCAAAACACTTTGAAGAAATAAATAACCTAATGTAGAGAAGACAACAATAGAGCTATCTTGAGAAAGATATTCTTTCAAAATGCTAACAAAATTCTGCCAACAAAAACATTGTAAACAGTTCAAAGGTTAGCAAAATATTCTTCACTGATAGTTTCTTTGACATCTTGGCTATATTTTCGCGGAAAATTTGGCTTCAGTTAAAATACAAAATATTTTGGTTGACAGCATAGACTGCAAACTTTGTTACAGCTGCACTCAGTATGCTGCCTTTAATTTTGATTTTTACAGATTTTAGTAGCTTGATTTTTCCTAGTTCAGTTTTGCATCTGATGTGTCTTGATATAATTTGTTCCTAATTTTTGATGCAGGTTTTAGCTTTTGCTACAACTGATGCAAATAAAGGAACTTGAACAAAAAGTTTCATTCAGTAAGTTGAAGAATAAACTGCTGATAGAAATTTGTTAAGAGTACAGTTACTATATTATGCTTGTTTTTTAGGCGGATAAATGTCCGTGTGAATATTGAACTGCAATCAACAACAAGCCCCATTCATAGAAAGGTGTGTGTCTCATTTATCATGTATTTATCTTAATAGAAAAGTTATTGAAGAGACACTTGTACAGCAGGCCGAGGCAAAGAGGCAGTCCCGAAACAAGCAAAATCAGGGAGCTGGACAGGAGACAGATTGTATTTGTCTTCAATGTGGAAGAGATTGTCACTCTTGAATTGGCCTTCTCAGCCACACTAGACGCTGTTCCAAGACCTCCATACAGAGCACGTTACCATAGTCTCTCGAGACTGAAGGATGCCTACTGACTGAATAGACAAGTACATGTAATATTGTTTATCATAGTCTCTCGAGACTGAAGAGTGCCTACTGATTGAATAGACAAGTAGATGTACCGTAATATTGTTTACTTCTGCAAGTAGTTTAACTGAAGTCAGTCAGTTACTATCATATATTCCTCTGGGAGCTATAGCCTTATAGGAAGGAAATACATTTAAATAGATTATTAGTATTTCATGAAAATGCATATTATGATTGATAATAGTGGTTCCTGACTATACATCTTAAAGCAGGGTTTGGGAATGTTTTTGAAGCTGAGTGACATTCCTTGTGAGGATGGGGAGGGAGCGCGTGCCGGTGGTGGTGGGTCTGGGCAAAGCCAAACATGGATAGAATCACCTGAGTCACACACATCCATAGTCTAACTCCTCACCCCCACATTCATACCTGTCCATCTTGATTTGCACAATGATCAGAATGATGGCACTGCAGTGGATGCTGTTTATTTTTCTTGTACAGAACACTGCACTGGAAATGCAGTAGTGTGCCAGTGATGAAAGAAATATATTTTTCTTTTGTTTTTAGCTAAACCCTTCAACCATGCCCCTTTCCCCCACTGGTCAGCTCTTTCCTAATGAGCAGCCCTTTCAACACTACTGTATGTTGTGTAGAAGCTTTTAGCACTTGTACTGTTTGGTCAGGTTACTCCTGAATGTATTACTTTCAAGAAATTAATTGCTTTGATTAATTCCATAATTTTTTGAAACATTTGATTTTAGGATTTAATTGTTCGGCTAACTGAGGACGCAGATCCCTTCTTCCTATATAATCTTGTTATTTCTGAGGAAGATTTTCAAAGGTAAAAAATGTTTAGGTTAATCTATTGGTTTGGATGGTTTAGATAAATCAAACTTCCAAAGTTTCAATCTGATTATTATTAACTACTGGTATAGTTCAGAAAGATAATTCAGGAATAGATAAAGTGTACCTCCATTATCACTGCTTCAGCACTCTCCCATTTCAATTTTTTAATTATTAAAAAGTTTCTTCACACTTTCCTAGGGCCCAAGAGGGCTAGTTTTATCACATATTCCCCAAGGTGTCTAAGGGTGCATCTACACTGGTAAGCTGAATTGGCTTGATTTGCTGTCTCTTTTGCGGTAGTATTCAGTTTAGGCGATCACATAGAGACCTCGGATTGTTTTGGTGCCAATGTCCACACAGGCCTCAGTCTGGTATGCTTTGATATGCTGCTACAGCACCCTTTCCTAAAATACTGTCTACCTGGTAATCCCAGGGTCACCCCATCCCTGATCAAATGTTAGACTAATGTATCAATGTAGTGATAAGGTGATCACTCTGTAGTTTATTTAAAAAATACTTTGGTGTGACTAGGGAGAGAGTTTGCCGTGCATAGTGGGTTGATTCATGTTCGCCTTTGCGCTGAAAAATGCTTCAAATTCATCTGTGCTAATTGTGGAGCAAATCCTGAACTATTTATCAGTGTAGTCACAGGTTCTGGCTGGGTTCTGTTTCAGGCTGGAAGTCCTTTAACAGCTCAGGAGCAGCCAAAATGGTGACATTGTTCTTTGTGGCCACTAGAAGGCATAAGGATACTTCTGTGTATATAAGGAAGAAAAATATTTGAAGGGGGTAGGAATAGAATGCTGCAGAAGTAGCAGTGGCTCTGCAAGTTCTAAGGATAAGTGGTTATGGCCTGTGGACCACTGGAAGTTACACACCTTTCCTATAAATGATAGAATAATTCTGTATAGAGCAGTAGGTGACTTTCAAAAGTTACCCACCCTTGTGGACTGTTGAGGCTTGTCTTCACATGTGCCCAAAACTGTTTGATAGCAAGGACTTTGGGGGCAATTCTATTATCTGCCCCCTCCCCCAATTTGTTTAAGGCTTGTTGGAGGTCTTTTTAAAAAACCTTGAATGTTTGAAAGTCATTCCCGGCTTTAAGAAAACCGTACTGGGCATAAAAAAAAGACTGTAATTGAAAGTTGTAACATTACCCACCTAGAGGTCACAAAGGGCATTTAAAAATGTGTGCAGTGGTGCCTCGACTTACAAACGTCCCAACATATGACCATTTCGAGTTACGATCAGCTCCAGTTGCAAAAATGTTTCTTTGACTTGCGGCCGGAGCTTCCAGTTACGATCAAAAAAGGCAGGGAATTCAAATTGCTAACCGTTGGCGGCGAAGACACTGCTTCTTTGTAGCTCTTTTGCCCCAGCAGTTAGAGAGTGTGCGATCAGAGGAGGCTTTGGACTGCCTAGTAAGGTAAGGTGATGCTTTCTACGTTTTAAAAATTGTTCTGGGTGGGTTTTGCAGTGTGGTTTTGGACTGGGTAGTGGGATTATGTTTCTATGCTGTGATGGGTCATGCGGGGTTTGTCTGCTTTTTGGGTTTCCCCCCATTTCTGATGGGTCTTGCGGGGTCTGTTTGCTTTTTGGTGTTTTTTTCCCTTTTCCAATAGGTCTTGCGGGGTTTGTTTGCTTTTGGGTTTTCCCCCATTTCCAGTGGGTCTTGCGGCATTTGTTTGCTTTTTGCTTTGCTTTATTGCATTTCTAAAGGGTCTTGCATGGTTTGTTTGCTTTCTGCTTTGCTTCTTTTTGCATTTACGATGGGTCTTGCACAGTGTGTTTGCTTTCTGTTTTGCTTTTTTTGCATTTCTGAAGGGTCTTGCACGATTTGTTTGCTTCCCCCCCCTTTGGCGGGAACGGAGTAATCACATTTCCGATGGGTCTTGCAGTGTTTTGTTTTGTTTTGTTTTTTTGGTATGTGTGTGATTTTTTTTTCCTTTGGCCGGAACGGATTAATTGCATTTCAGTGCATTCCTATGGGAAATGGTGCTTCAATTTATGACCATTTCGAGTTATGGCCAGAGTTCCGGAACCCCTTAAGTTCATAAGTCGAGGCACCGCTGTATTCAGTTTTAAAAATAATTATGTTAGGCTTGGTGCTGTTTGGGAGCTGCTGTGCTGGCAGTTGGAAGTGCTATAACCAGGGCAGTTCTTTTATCTTTGTTCTAGAAGCGTTATTAATCTTAACTAAGATGGGTATGCACATTGATGATTTTCTTCATTTTTATGTAGTTTAAAACTCCAACAGAGTCTTCTAGTAGATTTTGCTGCTTTTCCTCAGCGATTTATAGATCTTCTCCAACATTGTATCCAAGAACAAAATAAAGATATCCCCAGGTTAGTAATAAATAAGCAGTATTCTCTATTATCTTTACAGCTGTTAACGAACATAAACAACATGTTACTTATTCAGTTTTTAAAGTTAAGAAATAAGGGTTGTCTAACTATCCAGATGTATTCCATTCCATTTCCCACCAAGTATGGTCATTGGTTAGGAATGGGCAAAGTTGTAGTCTAGCAATATCTGGAAGGCTACACATTTCTGACTCCTGCTTCAGTTACGAGCAGCAGATTCAGTAAGAAAGAGAGTGGTAAAATAAAATTGTAGTCATACTCTTTAATGATGTGGGTGGTAGTCCTCTGTTATTTTGGTACCTTAATACCTCTCCTGCAGTGGAGTAAAACCTTCAAATTAGTTGTTCTTCCCATTTATTCCATTGAGCAGGACTTAATTAGATCTGTATCTTTCCCATTTCCAATTCTTGCCTCCAAGGAAAAGGGCATAAGTACAGCTTTATTAGACTTCTTATTCCTTCAGTTGTTCTGTTTTGCATCTAGCCTTCCCATGCCAACACAGACCTTACTTTAGGGCACCCATGCCTTTACCTCACTGTATTCTTGTTTCTTTACCTTTCTTTCTCTGTTTCCGTGGCATAGTGAGAGCACTGGGCTTCTGTGAAATGGTACTTTGTTACAAGCTTTCAGAATAAAGGCTTGAAGGTTTCTTTGGAAAATCTTTATTTTGCCTATGTTGATCCGCTGTGCCAACAAGTGGCACTCTTTATGATGGGCAATTACCTTGGTGGGCAGGGAACAGAATAAGAGGATTTTTACTCTTCCATAACAGGTTGTACATCTGTTTGCATGTGTGCTTCACAGGTCAAAAGGCAACTAGAATGTCTTTTGTTATAAATATTTTACTGTCTCTCTTTAGGTTTCTGCTACAGCTGATTTCATCAGGATCTAATTTAGATCACACCCCATCTTTCTTAAATGTGATTGAGACAAACCCTTTTAAGCACCTTACCCACTTGTCACTAAAATTTTTACCAGGAAATGATGCAGAAATCAAGAAGTTTTTGGGAGCCTGTTTGAAATGTGTTAAGGTAAAACCAGGATTTCAGCTACATTGTAGTGTTAATACTTCCAGTCTTTTACTATTCTCTAGATTAGTGGTCCCCAACCTTGGGCCTCCAGATGTTCTTGGACTACAACTCCCAGGAGCCTTCACCACCACCTCTGCTGGCCAGGATTTCTAGGAGTTGAAATCCAAGAACATCTGGAGGCCCAAGGTTGAGGACCACTGCTCTAGATGACTTATTTGGTCATCTATGCACAGCAGGAAGTAAAATATAAAGTTATAGGGCATCCTGCTACAGGGTGTGCAGTTGATTAACCTACTGGATTGTATTTAATGTTTCATGGTAATAGAAAGAGAAAATAAACTCTAGCTAAATTCTTTTATAATGCCAGAATAATGAAATGTGAAGGAACCTAGTAGTTTCTAATGGGAAGGAACCTAATACAGTAGAGCCCTTGACTTTTGGAACACACTGCCCACAGAGATTCGCCTGGCACCCTTGCTGGGAGTTTTCAAGAGTCAATTTAAGACCTGGTCCTTTTGTCAGGCCTTCCCACCAGCTAGTCCTTAGCTCCTTCTCTCGTCTTTCCCATCTTGGATTTTCATATGTTAATGTTTCTTATTTTAATTTTTTGTTTTACTCCTATCTGTGTTTTATTGTAAACCGCCCAGAGTGGATTCCTCCAGATGGGCGTTATAAAAATAGAATAAATAGTTAACTAACCTGTTGTGATTCATTTTGTGGAGATGCATTTCTAACTGATGTGCTAAACTCATACAGTTCAACCCAATATGTATTTAGTTAGATATAGGTAGTCTCTTGCAGGGTGTAGCTACACTGTTAAGAGGAATCAGGAGTTAGATAGGGCTTTTTGAAGTCAGTTTAAAATCGCATGTTTTTTGTATCAGTATGTGCGTCCCCTTGTGACAATGTTTAATCGGGTTGTAAACTCTGTTGTATATTGGGCAAGGAAGCTACATTTTAAAATCATTGCATTTTTAATTGAATTGGTTCTGTAGCTTCAGAATTTTCTGGGTCCTTCATCATGCTAACAAAAGCCATTTTCTTCTGTGGTGTTTTTTTTCCTTTTGCAGAGAATTGTTTACGGCTGTCATAAATAATCTTTTTGTTAATTTTACTTATTTTTAATGTTTGTTTTATTTCTCCCCAAAATGGCATAGTGCTAGATCACTGTTACAGCTATGGGGGGCCACACACCATTATGATCTTGGCATCCAATATTTAACAAACCCCACAGACACAATTTATTCCCAACACAGGCATTGATGCATGCCAAAACAGTTTTTTAAAAATCGGGATCGGGATCAATTCAAAATAAACAATCCCCTTATAGGTGTTTGAAAAAGCTTGCTTTCAGACCAAAAATGTGTGCTTAGCTGTATATCATGTCAGCTGATATTTTAAAATTGATTTTGAGTGTGCTATACTCAGTACCAAAACAGGAGTATTATGATGTATAGCCGAGCCCTTAGCATGGTAGAATATACTTTTTAGTAAGTGTGCTTAAACTTACAGCCTTAATTGCTTTTAAAAAGTGAGAAAGGTTGTATTGACTGACAAACTATCAACTGCTCATAGGAAGAAAAGTTGCTACTGGAAGAAAAACTTAGCAAAACAGAAGAAAATCTTACAAGACAGCTGAGCTATACCCAGCAGGTAATAGTACAATATAAATTGATTTGTAGAAAACAAACTTAAGATATCTGTATTTATTATATTTAATTGTGTGCCTTTGAATCTAAATAATAGGTTATATAGAATATATGCCACTGACTCTGGAGATAATTGAAAAATTATTTGCAAATAGCAATAGATAGTTTTAGCAAAATTAATAGTTTGATGGCACCTTGAAGAGTAACACATTAGTTGCAACATGAAGAAAGGAAGTTGAAGCTGAACTTAATCAGATGCAATTTTAATGTATTCAGGTGGTTCAGGATTGGTTTTGAAAATAATTACATGTGTTTAAACAGGGATAAGGAAAGGGAAAAGCAATTATTTTTCTAGGAGGCAAGAACTCTGTTAGGAGTTGATCTACAAAATATAACAAACAAATAAAATGAAAATATTTTTTTATTGGGATGTATCTAAAAAAACTAAAAATGTTTGTGTTCTTTTAATAAAGCTTTGACATAATATTAATAAAAACTCTTTGATTACATGCAGATGTATCGTTAAATTTTTATTTTCTTAGAGCTTGTCAGAAAAGAGCAAGGAATTGGACCGGTTAAGAAGTGAGTGGACATCTAAAACAGCATCATTAACCAATAAGCATAATCAGGAACTGACGAATGAGAAAGAAAAAGCCTTGCAGGTTTGTAACAGAGAGAAAGCTATGTAAAAGAATAGAATCCTCATATTTAGCACTTGTTAAAATGCTTGCTTTTCTTTGCAGACACAAGCACAATATCAACAGCAGTATGAGCAACAGAAAAAGGATCTGGAAAGCTTACACCAGAAGACTGTCCAACAGCTGCAGAACAGGTTGAAGGACCTGGAAATAGCCAATAAAGACCTACTGGAAAGGAGATACAAGGGCGATTCTACAGTCAGAGAGCTTAAATCGAAATTGTCTGGCATAGAAGATGTAAGAAATACTGAATTATTAAGACCTAAATCAGAAAACAATACAGTATTACAATTTGTGTTTGCTCACTATATTCCTAGTGTTTCTAATTTACATTCTGAACAGTTTTTGTTTCTAGTAATTGCTTTTTAAAAATACTTTTTCAATCAAATAGGAGTGCCAGAGAGCAAAGCAGGAAGTTCAGTCACTACGTCGAGAGAATTCTACCCTAGATGCTGAATGTCATGAAAAAGATAAAGAAGTTAATCAACTGCAAATGCGAGTTGCTGTTTTAGAACAGGAGATCAAGGACAAGGACCAGCTAATTAATACAACAAAAGAAGTATTGGATAGGACACAGGAACAAAAGGTTTTTAACTTTTTTTTATCACAGCTGAATTTTCACTTAGAGAATTTAAGAACACACAGAATTGCTATAGGAATGTAATTAGCTATGCGTGTGAAATTCCTCTTAGGTTTTTCAGAGGTAGTTTATTTTATGATATAAGACATTACTGTTTGAGAAATAAACGTTTAAAACCCACTGAGCATATAAGCTGGCAGGGGGTTTAATTTGTGGGGAGGTAACACCTCAAAATAGTCACGTAAGAGCTCCACAGAGTTTGTTGATTCCAGGAATGTTTATTGGTGTTACATCTTCAAGAACAGAAATAAAACTGCTTGCCTTCATCTAGCCCTGCTCTGTTAGCTTTGCCTGAGAAGTAATGCTTAGGATAAACAAAATACAGTGGTGCCTTGACTTACGAACGCCTTGACCTACGAACATTTTGAGTTACGAACAGCTGCGTTCACATAATTTTGCTTTGACACGAAGGGAGCTTTGATTTACAAACACAAAAGGGTGGGAAATTCAAATCACTAACTGTATGCGGCGACAAGGCTTCTTCTTTGTAGCTCTTTCGCCCTGGCAGTTAGAGAGTGTGCGATCCTAGGATGCTGCCTACTAAGGTAAGGTGCTGCTTTATACTTTTAAAAAAACTGTTCTGGGTATTTTTTGCAGTGCAGTGTGGTTTTTGGCTGAGGGGGTTGTTTGTTTTTTTGGTTCTCCCCCCATTTCCAATGGGAGGTTGGTTGCTTTTTGGAGTGTTTTCCCCCATTTCTGATGGGTCTTTGGGGTGTTGATTACTTTTTTTGGGTTCCCCCCCCCATTTTCAATGTGTCTTGCATGCTTCTCTTGCTTTCTTGCTTCGTTCTCTTTGCATTTCTGATCTGCTCTGTTTGTTTTCTGTGCTTTTGCAATGGTTCCTGCATGCTTCCCTTGCAAATCAGAAAAGTTTTTGCAAGGGTCTGTGCCGGCTTGGGTTTAAAATGTGTTTTCGACTCCAAACTCTCTCTCCCCCCCAATTGTATTCTCTCTCTCTGTCTCCCTCCTTTCTTGCCCTTTTTTAAACCTAAGTCATCTTAGGTTTACAAAAAATTCCTCCCCCTAGTGGTAGAGGATGGATTAACCGGTTTTGTATTAGTTCCTATGGGAACTAACGCTTTGACTTACAAAAACAGCTGGAACAAATTAATCAGGTTTCATTGCATTCCTATAGGAAATACTGATTTCACTTACGAATGTTTTGACTTACAAACACCATTCCAGAATAGATTATGTTCGTAAGTCAAGGCACCACTGTAACAGCCTGGTTTAGCAGGAATATTATTGCTGGGTGGCCCAATGAATAGATTGTCTCAGTTAGCTTCTGGAAGTAGAGTAAAGCAACTCTGAACAAAGTTGAGCTTGCCAGGTCTATTTATTTATGTATTATATTTATATCCCGCCTATCTGGTCATTGCGACCACTCTAGGCGGCTTAAAACACATAATACAACAATAAATATATAAAAAAAGAATTATTACACTAAATAACCAATTCTTCAAGATGGAGAGAAAATGAAAAATAAATCACAAAAGAAAAAGGGAAGAGAATCAGATTAACTGGAGGTCTTCCTGACAGCTGTGTCATTTCCTTGCCTTTTTCCAGCTGTTCATTTTCAGTGCCTTACTCCTCCATTCTCCAGCTCATTTTCTCTTCAGTTCCACTTGCTCTCACCTGTTTCTGTTCATAGCCTGGGGCTCATGGGTGGTGGGTAGCAGGTGGGCAGGATTCTGTTTCATTGTTTAGGAGGTGTTGCCATCCACTATGGCTCTATAGAAGCTCCTACCTACATCTCCTCACTCTACTGATGGTTGGTGATTCCTGGCAACTCATTACAGTAACTTAATTATGTGATGTTCTTCACTATGGCAAGTTTTAGAAACTAGAAGTATGTTGAAAATAGTTGAGTGGTTATAGATTGTATTACACTGATAGGTTTTTCAGCTTTATGAACTTTTCATATGTCATGTTTTAGGTTAGACCACTGGTTCTTAACCTTGGGTTACTCAGGAGTTTTGGACTGCAACTCCCAGAAGCCTTCACCACCTGCTGTGCTGACTGGGGCTTCTGGGAGCTGCAGTTCAAAAGCATCTGAGTAACAAAGGTTAAGAACCACTGGGTTAGACTAAGGCATTCAAAAGTAGGATTCTCAATAAAATTTGAAATGATCCACCTTAGGAATATAAAATGTCCTTGATGTTAGTTTATAATATTTTGAAAGGCAAACCTGGAAGAAAATGTGGACCAGAAACAAAATCAGATAGGAAAACTGGAAGCAACACTGAAGTCACTATCAGCTGAACTCCTTAAGGTTTGTTCAACCATAAAGTTGCCTTTTATGAGGATCACAACGTCATTTTACAGTGTCTTAATTTAGAATTCTATGAAACTCTTTATTTAGGCCAATGAAATAATAAAGAAATTGCAAGGAGATGTAAAAACCTTAATGAGTAAGTTGAAACTGAAAAATACAGTAACAATTCAGCAAGAAAAGCTCCTGGCTGAAAAGGAAGAAAAGCTACAGAAAGAGCAAAAGGAATTACATATGGCTGAAAACTCTCTTCGAGAAAAAGAACAGGAGGTAACTTAAGAGTCTGAATTTTTTTAGTAGTTACTTAGCCTCCATGCACTCTAGTAAAGCATTTTAGCCTCCAGATGCACTTCTGTTTTATAGAATTTTTGCAGACATAGGTGTAGGCCATATTACAAAATCATCATTTGCTAGGTGTATGAGATCCTCAATATAGCCCCAAAAGCAAGAGTTGTGGGTAGATAAGACGGGGTTTTCTGTAGCAGCACTCCAAGAGTGGAACTTTTTTTCACAAGGAGAAAAGGTTCATTCCCTGTCTGTTGAGCTTTGTGAAAGACAGCCAAAAGTACATTGTTTCAAGGGCCTTTGTTTTTCAGAGGTTTTTTTTACCACTGACTTTAGAGAGGTTGGGTTGGATCTGCTTTTACAGAATGTTTAGCAGTCTTTATCTTCAAAAATAATTATTTTAAGAGGAAGCTGAACCTGTTGTAAATAGCTTTGAGAATTCTAGTAGACAAAAAAATAATAATGACTTAAATAGTCAAGCAGGCAAGCAAGCTTTAGTCCATTTAAAAAAAATCTGACAGATTAGTTGGCTTTTTTGCCATTGTGCAGATTTTGTCATGGCTGATACAACGTACAGAGAGAGGTACACTTTCATTATCCTTAGGTAATTTTTGATTTTATTACAGCTTGTATTTTCCAAACAGGGGTGTTTGGGTGGAATGCATTTCGCTCTACACACACAAGCACTCCTCTGGACATGAGGGATTGTAATATTCTGCAGTACATTGGAAATCCTATTTAGTTCTGAAAATACAGTATACTGCAATTTGTGCAATGCAGGTTTGTTTATCCAGAAGTGATGAACTCTTTCACTAATGCTAGATACATATCTTAAAACATTTTTACAAATGCTATCTACACAGAATTTAAAATGCTATATTTTATATATATTATGATGTTGATTTTTTATTTAGAACAGATGATTTTTACTTTAATAGAGTTTAATAGCTTGAACCATATTTTTGTTAAACTGAGTAGAAAATTACTTATATCTGTGGTTTTAAATCAATGTGAAGACTTGACAAAATATACTAAATTAATATGAACAAATGTTAATGTGCTAATATTTCAGGTGTCCAAATTGCAGGAACAATTAGAAACTACAGTTCAAAAACTAGAAGAAAGCAAGCATCTTCTCAAAACAAATGAAAATGGTAAGTGACTTTTTTCTGTTAGCTTTCCATTTCCCTAATAACTGATCTTGTTAAAGTTTCAGAACTGAACAAATAAAGTTGATATGAGAGACATAACTTCTGTTTGGTTGTAAAGTCTGTCTTCCTTGGTCTCTCTTCTTTTCTACCTTCCTCTCCACTTTATATATTTAGTAACTGGTAGATTATTAATGGATCCTATATTCTGTGCAAAGGCTACTAATAGAGATGGGCATGAACCTTGATTCAGAGGTTTGTGCCAGTTTGTAAGCCCGGCATCACAGGTGCTGTGTGTTCCCTTCTCTCACTTCCTCAGCTGAATTCTTCCATTCACCAACCAGAGTGTGCTTCTCTCCTCCTCCTCCCTTAGCTATTCAGCCAGTCCCTGGGCTTCCCTGCCTCACCTCCTTGGCTGATTGCTCACTGAGACAAGGAGGTGGGATAGGCAATCCCTGAACAGCCGAAGAGTAGGAGGAGAGGAGCACACACTGACTGGTGAGTAGAGCATTAGTCAGGAAGGCGGGGGAAGGGAACAAGGTTCATGCCCATCTCTAACAATGAACCTTTCCTTCCCCTATCCTCCTCATTCACAGGAAGCAATTTTACTCTGTGGCTCAACCTGCAATATAACCAGATCCCTGTGAACAAACAGAGATGGGCACGAACCTTGATTCGGAGGTTTGTGCCAGTTTGTAAGTTTGGCACTACAGCTATCGTGTGTCCCTTTCCCCTGACCAATTCCCCTCTCACCAGCTGGAGCACCCTACTCTCCTTCTCTTTGGCTGTTCAGCCAGTCCCTGCTTTGAGATTACAAACAGGCACAAAACTCCAAACTGGGGTTTGTGCCCATCTCTAACTACTAATTCTGTTTGGTTACATAAATGGTTTCAAGGATATGCTGATCCTCAGGGATCCCTGTGGCTGCCACTTATTCTTCTGTACCCCCAAGCTAAGGAGGTAGCAATAGAATGCTCTTGGTTTCTTCTCTGTCATATGCCACCTAATTGTTCTCTTTTTGCAATAAACAGTGGTCCAAAATCCTGTTAGGTATGTCTGTCGGTGTTATGAAATTGGCATAAATCTCAGTAACAAGTTGCCATGAGTTAAGCAGTGTAGGCATTCACTGTTTGGCCCACAACAGCAAATGCCTATGCTAATTTCTTAACTTGCAGCTATTTGTTGCTGAGACTTACTCAGATGGAGTGTTGCTAGCATAAAAATATAATAGGCTTCTGACCAATAGCTGAAGGATTGCTGAAGTATGGTTTTTCTACTTCTCCTTCATATCTAAGATTACTAGTAAAGCATGAATAGGCAACCAGGTGCCATTCTGGTGTTTTGAACTGAAATGTGTCTAGAAGGGCTGGGACTTTTGGAAAAAATGAATTTGGCAGGAACCTCCCCGACTGAATTATGGGACTGGGAGGCGTAAAACTAGTAGGAGATAGAGCAGTCCTCAGGTTTCCCTGCAACTTACAAAGGTTCATGGACATGGATGTGCACCTTTGTGAGTTGCAGGGGATCCTCATGATTCCCACAGTTGAGTGGAGCACTTTTCAGATGACTCAGAGAAAAGGCATGGAAAAGGCGTGGATGCAGGAGGACCATGGTACCACTTGTTGGTGTGATGGCTCCCAGTTCCATAATTTGTTCTGGGTCCCCACCCAATTATGGGACTGGGAGTTCTTTCCCCCCCAAAATGTCCCATACCTAGTGCATAATTATTAATAATTTGTTGATTGGACACCAGACATCAAACAGTAGACATTCTTCAGTCTTGAGAGACTATGGTGATGTACTCTGAATAGAGGTCTTGAAAAAGCATCTAGTGTGGCTGAGAAGGCCAATTGGAGAGTGACAATCCCTTCCACACTGAAGACAAATACAATCTGTCCCCTGTCCAGCTCCCTGGTTTTGCTGGTTTCGGGACTGCCTCTTTGCCTCGGCTTGCTAAACAAGTGTCTCGTCAAATTGGGAGAGGCCGTGATGCACCGCCTGCCTCCAGGCTGAATGCCGAGATGTCAAGGTTTCCCATCTGTTGAGGTCCGTTCCTAAGGCCTTCAGATCCGGCTTGCAGATATCCTTGTATCGCAGCTGTGGTCTCCCTCTGGGCTGCTTTCCCTGCACTAATTCTCCATACAGGAGATCTTTTGGAATCCAACCGTCAGCTATTCTCACAACGTGCCTAAGCCATTGTAGATGTCACTGTTTCAGTAACGTATACATGCTAAAAATTCTAGCTCATTCCAGGACTATATTTGGAACTTTGTCCTGCCAGGTGATACCAAAAATGCGTTGGAGACAACGCATATGGAACACATTCAGCTTCATCTCCTGGCGTGCACAAAGGGTCCAGGACTCACTGCAGTACAGGAGTGTACTCAGGACACAAGCTCTATAGACCTGGATCTTAGTATATGCTGTCAGCTTCTTGTTAAGCCATACTCTCTTAGTGAGTCATACGCTGCAAGTGCCAGACTAGTACTTACAGTCTCAGTAGAGAGTGTCAGAGATTGTTGAGCCAAGGTACACAAAGTCATGAACAACCTCCAATTCTTGTGTGGATATGATAATAGAGGGAGGTGAGTCCACGCCCTGGCCCATGACTTGTGTTTTCTTCAGGTTGATTGTTAATCCAAAATCTTGGCAGGCCTTACTAAAACAATTCATAAGTTGTTGGAGCTCTTTGACAGAATGGGCAACAATAGCTGCATCATAGGTGAAGAGAAAGTCCGGCATGCATTTCAGCTGGACTTTGGTCTTTGCTCTCAATCTAGATAAAGAGCTTTCCATCTAGTCTGGAGATAGACGCCTTCTGTTGCAGTTC